AAGTGGTCTTTATTAATAAGTGCGAAGTAATGAAGTTATCTCTAATTCTGAGATAAAACCGAAATGCGAAAGAGCGCAATGCTATATTCGTCTGAGGTGTCGAAAATGAAGTGTTGTTTTATCAACCATCAGCCGACTTCATTGTGGGGATGTGTGTGCTGCACTTGCAAATATAGCGTGCATGATGCGCATACGTTTGCGAACGGGGAAGAACTGCCCCTCTGTAACTGTTGTTTTGAACAGTGATGTCATTGTTGTCTGCTTGTTGCGCTCATCGGTGCTTTGGTTTGTTTCACTGCAGAATTTGGAATTTTATTACTTTGTAATTATTACTAGAGGCTGCTTTTTTGAAATCTCGAAGCTGCAATGTTTTTTTTTCACGGAGGAATTATATTCTCCTATTTGGCTCGACTGCCAAACTCCACAAATTAAAAAGTTAATTAAACTTTTCTAACTATTATTCCAAATGATGTCTTCAACCCTCTTCAGATGCCTGACTCTACAGAAAAAGCAACGGTGAAGACAGCTAGCAAATAGTGCCTTTTCCTGATTTAAGAATATTGGACACCTTTCTTGAAACACCCTGTATATATTAAGAAGTGGTAATCCTAGATGTCAATGTTTCCTGCTTAGCGAGAGGGTTGGAAGGGGAGGTGGTGAGAGCTGGGTGTACCTCTGTTAACAATTTCAACTGTCTGTGCTGCCTAAATGAAGTTCTTTATGGCTATCTGATTCTGTGATGTAATACTGTTAAATAGAGTAGTTTCTTTAATTGAGGAGTTAGAGAAAAGCAATACTTGATGGAACTACATTTTTCTTTTAAGGATAACAGCCTTTAACTTGACTGCATTTAATTACAGCGAGCATTCGGCTATGGGTAGTACTGTCCATTTGAGAAGAGAGCATGCACAGCGATTGTGTACGAGGATGCTGATCAACATTTCCATATATTGATTTAACATATTTTGGCGTATTTATAAACGTTTTCAACCATGGCAGAGGCCTGTGAAATTCTACTGAGAAGGCGTGGAGTTGCTTTGCAGCTGCAATAAATGTTCACAATAAAGAACTCGACAAACGATATGTGAAGCCCCGCCGCGGTGGTCTTGTGGCTAAGGTACTCGGCTGCTGACCCGCAGGGCGCGGGTTCGAATCCCGGCTGCGGCGGCTGCATTTTCGATGGAGGCGGAAATGTTGTAGGCCCGTGTGCTCAGATTTGGGTGCACGTTAAAGAACCCCAGGTGGTCAAAATTTCCGGAGCCCTCCACTACGGACTCTCTCATAATCATATAGTGGTTTTGGGACGTTAAACCCCACATATCAATCAATCAAAACGATATGTGAAGCCTTTCAATACCACGAATTTTATTACATGGTGAATATTGCAGGTACAGAGGACTGGTTAATTATTAAGCCTGTATTATATTGACTGACCAGAAAACAGGCCAGTAATTCTTTCCATAAACACGTCAGCATTTTCGTTACCATGCAACATAATTATTATTTGTACTGAAAGCACGAAATGTGGAACGATTTTTTCAGCAGTGAAAAAAAAAAAACTAAAGATTTGTGGTATGTTTGTGCAGCTTGTGCTTCTATACAGCAACTAAGACATTGGAAAGAGCATCATTTGTTTACAAATATGAATTGTATTGCTTGCAGTTAAATGTGAGGTGATCAATGGTCATGTGATCAAGGAAGCTGGGGGTTGACACGAGAAAACTGAAGACAATGAGCTTCATCTGGAATTTTATTTATAAATATGCGTTCATGTGTGCATATCTTCATTTCATTAAACATACAACTGCTCTATATTAAATAATGTTTGCATTCGAAAATTTGGTCTGTTAACTACTGTTAAAAGCTCATTTGCTGCTCCAAATTGGGGTTTTATATGCTCCAGAAGCCACACCAAAATTGAGGCCCTCTATAAATGCACCTTCTGTTACAGTCTGCCTTAAACAGGCAATCTCGTTCTTATCTTAAGATGCTTCTCAGGAATAAGTATTGTAGTGAAGCTTTTCAACTTGGCCTACCAGGGGTTGTGATACATGGTCTAGTCAGCTTTCATTGTTTGGATGCATGCACTTGTTGTGACATGGGATGTGCCTATGTACAATGACTTATTTAGCCATACCAAGTTAGGCCAATAATACCGTACTGTGTGCATAGACAGCTGCTTACTGAAGGTCTCAGTTCAATTAAATTGTTAATGCTTGGGCTGATGTTCATCAATACTTTTTCTTTTAGCAAGTAGGTTCTGAACTTGGAATGTACCAACACAAACACCCAGAAAGATGACACACGAACACTGACTGGATCTAGTAGTAGAACCTTTAATGTACTAGAGGTAATTACGAAGAAGGCGGGTGGTTCCCCTGTCCAGGGCCCCACTGGCCTTTGCGGCTCACTAGGCCTGATCGAACAGAGCAGCTTGGCTCTCACGATCCTTGCTCGCAAGCCAGATCTCCCACTGCCTGCCTCCCAAATGGGTTTTTCTCGAATAAAGGTGAATTTATTTGGGTGGCCCGAGTCTACACGTCCATGTTATTTGGGTAAGAGATGGCTGCTCTGAACACCATGGACATGTGTCCGGGTACTGCGTTGGGTGGATTTTGTTGAGAATTAGTAGATTGGGAGTGTTTGTTTGTAACCAGTCCCTAGCCTGCCCGATATCAAGTTTGAGGCGTGCTGGACTGAATTTTTGCCTTTCTCTTCTTTGTGTCTCCAGGATGTTGCGCGGGCTGACTGCAGGTTCTTCGAGAATCGCTATTGGTACTCAGATACTAATTCTACGAGCTATACCATCGGCCCTCTCATTACCCTCTAGCCCCACGTGCACTGGACACCAAATGACAGCGTGAATTGTTCAAAGTGTGTTCCTAAAATTTTAGTTGTAGTTTTTGATGGAACTCCGGTCAGGTATTTGCGGCATGCTGACTGTGAGATAACTAAGGCGTCTTGGGTCTTGTATTTGGCATCTCGTATGGCCAATGCTATGGCTGCCGACTCAAGGCTGGGTCTTGTATTTGGCATCTCGTATGGCCAATGCTATGGCTGCGGACTCAGCCGTGCTAACTGAGGCAGTTCGTACGTTTGCTGTGATTGTACTGGATTTATTAGTTGCTACTACAGTGTATTTATCTTTGGCTATTTTGCATGCGTCCGTGTAGTGCACGTCTCAATGGTGTCCAAACTGCTTTTGCAAAGCTCTGACCTTAGCCTCTCGTCTGCCCTTATAATATTTGACACTCATGTTTTTGGGAATGGGAGAAGCCACTATGCGTTATCTGACCTAATGGGGTAGAAGTGTTTATTCTCCACAATATTGGGGCTTTAGCGAGGTACCCTAGCTTTTGTAATAAGGCTCTGCCTTGCTTTGTTGAGTTGAGCCATTCAGGCTGCGCAAGAATAACTGACTATGCATGCTCTTCAAATGTGTTATGGTTGCCCAGGTCTTCAAGTTTTTCAGTGCCTGTATTGTGTGGCAGTCCTAGTAGGGCTGTTTTTTTATGCTGTGCGTATTAAAGCGTTTGATAGTTTCTAGTACGGGAGGCCGTAGGTCACATGACTTATGACGAAAGCCTGAACTAGCATGTTAATTTATTCTTCTGTGAAACCTTTATTTCTGGTGACTCGGTAGATCATGTGCGCTACGCTTGTCGTGGTTTTGACTGGGTGTTATTTTCATAACCTTGCAAGTCCCAGAATGGAACATGGACAATTAAGGGCAATGACATGAGGTTTTACAACATGCCAGTAATGCAGTATGCAAAATAAGCAAACAAGGGAAGAGTGCAAGAAAACATCCAATTTTTCTTTGCACTGAAACCCAATAGCTACATTCAGAAGATAAAGCTTTAAACAAAAATAGCAAGAGAATGGTTGGTACTGGTAATCTATAGCACTATATTATGTGCTTTAAGTTCTAATCTACCCTGGCTCTCATTACTACATAGGAGCCATGAAGTACAACTGGAAAGTTGGATTTTTTAGTTCGATCATACGGACATTTTTGGCATAGCCTGAAGTGGCTTACAGGGGAACACCGGTTTTTACTTTTTTTATAATCAATTTTGATGACAGCTGCTGAGTTTGTGTATGTTTTTCTACTGATGTTAAGTATGTGATTTTTTCTTCTAGTGTAGAAATGAGAATGTTTCCCCAAAAGGTGCATAGAATATTTCCTGAGAGAGTTGCAAAGTCAATCAGCATATCATAATAAACGGGAATTGTAACTATGTGCAGCACAAGGTGGATGTTCTAAACCCATTTGCACAAAAGTTGTGGTCTCTACAGTGGAGCCATAAAGCACATCTGAATAGTTCAATGTGTTTCGAATTTGATCACGATATGTTAATGAACATGCTAAGAGGCAATTGTGAATACGTTATGGCTATGTAGATGTGACGGTCGTATCATTCATTGTTTTTTTTTTCTGAAATAGTATATATTTTGTGCACTTACGGAACTGAAACTAGTTTTCACCTATTTTATTGACTACCTGTTTTGACACTTGTCTGTCTGTGCCATTAAATATTCGCCATGGTTATAAGGAACCAGCTCACCCGGAGGCACTCTAACCATGCGAAAATTGCACTGCCACCTGATTGGGCGTGCTCTGCTGGTTTTTTGAGAACTCATGTTGAATGGGAACACTTTTTTATGCATTTCATCACATGACACCATTTGACTTCAATGTTTACAAAAAGGGCAGCTGTACGTTACAGAAGCCTCGGAAGTACCCAAATCAATTTTGGGGTGTTATATAATTGAACTCCTGTTGCAGTAAACACCAGGATCAAGTTCATTCTAGCAGTATAAAAGTTCTAGTGTGTGTGTAATGTGTGATGTATCATCACTGCAGACCATAAGTAAAATTTTTTTTAATTACGGCTGCATTCATCAGACAAACCAAGCATTGTTCTTCTGAAATGTTCTTCTGTTAACTGCGTTTATTTTGCAAGTTGACTGATCTTGCGGCGTCTTGCTGTTTTCAGCTGCATCATGACTGGTTCCTACAACAATTTTTTTCGGGTGTTCGACCGAACAGCGAAACGCGACGTGACCCTGGAGGCATCCCGGGAGATAGCCAAGCCGCGGACGGTGCTAAAAGCGCGAAAGGTGTGTGGCTGACAGCTTTTCTCATTGTGTGAGCACTGTGTCGATGAAAGTTGTTTCAATGTAATTTTTTTATCTGCAGGTGTGCACAGGAGGCAAGCGAAAGAAAGAAGAGATCAGTGTAGATTGCTTGGATTTCAACCGCAAGATCTTGCACACGGCGTGGCATCCCCAAGAAAATGTGGTTGCAGTAGCTGCCACGAACAACCTGTACATATTTCAGGAGAAGTTTTAGTTTTTGCTTGAGGCATTCTACAGCACAATGTAAAAAATGTACATAGTGTCATTTCCCCGCTCCTCAAATGCCTGCATCCCCCCTACCTGTTTTAGAAAGGCAATTTATTTTTTGTCCCCACAGTCCCGTTGTTGTACCATACTGGTGACTGAGGTTTTTGTAGGTCGTATGGATTGTGTTTTAAGTAGGTCCCTTTTAGCGTTTTGTTTATGCCATTGCATGTTGTGGACGATTGAAGGGGGGGGGGGGGGGCAGTTGCTCAAACGCTGCGTGCTGCTCCTCAATGGCACTCGAAAAAAAAAAAAAAGAACGAAATGTTTTACTACAAGACTGTCGTATTCCGAATTCTCGTACGTTGACAGAGGGAGAAAATAAAACGAAGTCTTGAGAAAGTGCCTTTTTTGTGTGCTAGTGGTTTTGAAATGGCATTATGCCTAAGATGATCTTACTACACGCCTGGTGGATAAGTGTCCCCTTTATGACATGGTGGTGACATGTGTGCACCATGCTTGAATGCCTCTAGTTTGATTAAATGTTACTATGAAAGAAACACTTTAATTCACAGCCCTCTTCTCTTCCCTTTACGACAGTGCCCTTATTTTCCCCACTATTCACTTTCATTCTTTCTCTCTAGTTTTCAGCCACCACTCTTGACAGTCAAATTTTTATCATGGGTGTGTTCAGCTTTCGTTTGTTGTCCCTAAAGCCCAGGGCATTATGTAGGCTTGTGCCCGAACATACTTGGGTGGATATCCCACATTCAGTCGAAATATGCTCCGCAGTTTCCTTCCCCAAAGTGTGCGCATTGTTTACTAAACTCTTGCTATAGCTATGTGTTCTACGGCAACCCAGTATCTCTTGAATCAGTAAAGCGCTTCCCGTCGAGTCTCCTTCCCTATGTTTTTAGTGTTCGTCCTTTGGATAGTTTCCCAGAGCGGGCTTTTTTTTTTCCCCGTTATCACAGCCATCGACTAAGTCCTCTCGGCTTTGGGCTTTTCAGTGAACACATTGCCATATAGCTTACTCTGCCAGCAGTATATTTACCAGTGAGCACGCCGATAATCCCAGTCATTTCATCTATTAGACAGGGCTGCTCTTATAGCCAAGAAAAAGGATTCAACCACGAGACTGCTTTTGGAATCCATTTTTATCCGGACGACAGAGGACACTATTGACAGGACACTTGGGAATCGACCTGCCAGCTTCACCCATTACGTGGCATTTTAGCACAAAACTGCGACACTCGGCTCTTGCCTGCTTAGTATGAACAAGGAACCCGCATGGGTCCGAAAACGTCTTTTTTTCAGTGACCACATCTACATCACGATGCCTGACCAGGCAAACTTTCGTTGGACTTTGGTCTATTGGTCTATATAGCAGAGACGGTTGTTGATCGCTATTAAGAAATCCTATGTGCATTGACTGATCGCAATCATAAGCGTCCGTAAGACACTGGTAGAGATGGGGAACGGAAAATACGCCAACGCTGGCATGATCCGATGTCATTTTGTAAGAAAATAAGTGCAACTTTGACTCCCACACACTCCCTCATCCACCCGAGAACGGACGACACAAAATGACTAATAACCAACTAGCCCAACAAGTTTTATTATGATCTAGACGAGCGATGTTGACTGGCCTCCCAATAGTGGCTCACTTTTGCCGGCAGGGTGTTTTTTCTGTTCTTTACACAATGATTTTTCTCTGGATCGCATTTGTCATTATTTTACTGTGCGAGTTCCCCACCCCTTCACAAAAACCTCATATGAAAATCATCGCCAGCAAGTGTCTCCTTTAGTATTGCGATAACAATTATATGGGCACGCTAGGCTGTATTTTGCCGCTGGCGTCACCGTATATGTATACTTATCTATATATATGAAGATGCAAGAAACAAATACCGAAAAAAATACTGGCGTGCGGAATCTAATTTGGGTAATCGGCATCGTGAGTGCGAGGCGTTAACCAATAAGCCACCGAGGAGCACGTCCTTCAACGTTCAAAAGGCTACCTATTAATGACTACCACTTACCGCTGCTGACGGGCATCTCGGGGGGGATTGTGTTTTCAGCATTACAAGCAAGATGGCGCAATGAGCGCGCGCTCTCATCCTCCGCGCGTACTTTGCCCGCTTAGAGGAGGGGGGCGACGCTCCCTCGCGCGCCCTCATCTCGCGGTGGGGAGAATCGTACCTCTTGGCTGGCCTCGGGCTTTACCTGGAACGATTTTATTGTAGGTACCAGGCGCACAAAGGTCACTGCAATTATTGCAGTCTCCGTTTGCGAAAAGCGCGCGCTTTTCAGACACAGTGAAGTAACAACTTAAGGCTGGTGCACACCGGCGACTAGCAGCGGTCGCGCGACCATTCGCGACTGGCGACCAAAAAGCGACTGATGTTCACACCGACAGAGGCTGCATGCGAGCGACCGGAAGTCGCAAAACCGGAGAGTCACGTCCGGATTTCGTTATGAGCGAGAACTCCTGAGACCGGCGCGATCAGCTGATCGCCGCCAGCTGAGTCCGTTCTCGCACAGCGTTCCCAACAGCGTCAAGTTCGATTCAAGCGAAGAACAAGACAATTTCATGGTGCTGATGCACTGTGCCATGGTGTCAGCGCTGGCATCACAGATGCCTCCAAAGAAAAAAAAAAAGCCGGTAGTGGATGTGACCATCCTTTCGATCGCGGGAATTGACCGGCCATGCAAGCCGCCTGCCTTTAGAGCTGCGCTGACACGACGAGGAGTATTTCCGAGAGTCGTACGTATTCAGAAACCATCCTTAAATTTCCCTTGACTTGCCACAGCCTACAATGCAGCACAAATGCGTCTCGAACGTGGAGTCTTAAGTCGTTGCCAAGGCATGAAGTACAAACGCCTTCCAAACACGCTGCGTTGAATGCGCTGACAAGTCAAGTTCAAGACAAAAAAAAAGTTTCCGAATACGGGGAAAAGACAGTGCACAATTTATTTTCTCTTTACTTTGACGGTGTTTAGCTTCTTGCGAATGCCACCACGTAAATTCGACAATTTGCTCGAGTTGCTGCGGCCCGCCATCTCCAAGCCAAGTATTCCGTGGTGGCCATGGTGCCACAGACCTAGAGGAACGCACTCGTTTGTATCTGGCGGCAGGAAGCCAGCGCAATGAAAAAAAAAAATTGAGCATCGCTGATTGGTTAAGCAGCTTTGCGACTGCAGTCGCGCGACTGAAAAATCGGTCAAGAAGCGACTGGCCAACGCAGTCGCTTTGCGACCGTTCGCGACTGGTTGCGACCAGTCGCAAATGGTCGCGCGACCGCTGCTAGTCGCCGGTGTGCACCAGCCTTTACACGCTTATTAGCGTGCATCTGTACTTGTGAGTATGTTTCGTGTGTCATTGTGCGTGAGAAACGCGGGGCACGTTTCGATCTGCTTTCCATTCTGCGTGTGACCTTCCAATTTGTTGCTATTGCTTTCATTGCTTCGCCGTTGCGGCAAAGCTGTGACACTCGTTGGTTCGTTTTTTTTTTTTTTTTTTTTCGCCAAATTTCCGTTAAACAAAAGGACATACCGTGGTGCCACCATACGGATGCATCTTTGTGCAGCGCCTCTATTTTTTCAGTGCCCGGGCGAAGGAGCGGATTTCAATCGGACGCGGCTGTTGGTGCTAGGACGGCGTTTCGCCGCCAGGCGCCGGAACTGGAGTAGAGATGCCGCCGCGTCGTCTCTCGCGGCAAATGAATGCCGCTGCTGCATTCGAAGCTGCTATACGGCTCGTTTTTCGGCTGTATTCGCATTGTTTAAGGTGTAATGGAAACTTGGAAACGAGAATCGTGAAGCACTTGTTGTTCTGGACACCTAGCTAATTTCAAAGGCATGTTCGCGACTACTTGATCGAGGCGTTCGCGCGTCGTTTGCTAGGCCGATAGCAGATAGCGGATTCAAGTAATCCGCAGAAGATCGTTTTGTCACCGTGGCCGGCGTTCGCTTGACTGAGAGTTGATGTTTTGACTAACTGAAAGTCGATTTTTTGAGAGAAGCCTTTGCCAGGAGGTAATAATAAGAGCTTGGGTGCGTAATGTTCCTCGATGTTTGCTACTCTCTAGTGGCGAAGCACATTATGCGCCAGCCTGGAGTTCATGCACTAAATAGCACAGAATGCTACTAGACTGCTTCCAGGGATATAGGTCATCATCCGTCCCCTTCGCAAAGCATTACACGTGCTGCCACCTAGAAAAAGCAAGTGTCAGAAAATGAGGAACTATGGCAGGTGATTTACAATGAAATATCGTGAAATAAACAAGAACAGCTCCATATGCGGCGTAATTTCCGCAATCATTGCCTATGTTTTCAACATGCGCTAAGTCTAAAGTTTATGCCGACTCTCAACTTGAGCCAAGGTGACAGGCATGAAAAATGCGGCCTGTGGTCAGTTGCTTTATTGATTGATTTGTGGGGTTTAACGTCCCAAAACCACGATATGATTATGAGAGACGCCGTAGTGGAGGGCTCCGGAAATTTTGACCACCTGGGGTTCTTTAACGTGCACCCAAATCTGAGCACACGGGCCTACAACATTTCCGCCTCCATCGGAAATGCAGCCGGGATTCGAACCCGCGCCCTGCGGGATGGTCAGTTGCTTTAGCTTGTCTGTGTATTCGTGGATGGATTGTTGTAGCCTTAATATCCAGCTGCTTCTTTCGTCTTTCCTCTGGCCTCTTAATTCGGTGGCGAGCAGAGTAGAGCCGAATGCCTGTGTGGAGCCCATGGGCTCCCGTTCAGCTTCAGGGCGCAATGTTAGCGTTGCACACGGCAGTGATCGCGAGGCAGCGTTGTTACTGATAGACTCATTTGGTGACTGTTCGGATGCAGCACACTCCCGTTTAGTGATACCAATTGCCATGTTGTCAAACGTGACGGGTAGTCTTCAGCCACCACTACTTATAATCTATAAAATACTCGGGTTGTAAATGACGGAGACATATCAGAGTTTAGTACGAAGATTTATTAGGAGACCAATTGTTCTGCCTGATTACTGCAAGCACGCTCTCCCCGAACACCAGCGGAAGCTGCAATGTCATGGAGCTACAGCCCTACAGTGCATCAAGGCGATAGCTTTAAATGTCTCATCAAAAGCGAAAATTTCTCGGCGGCGGCTTCCGGCGTCTTCTCGCATCGGCGGCGTGAACACGAGTGATGCAAAAAATTATTACGTGAGACGTCACCATATGACATCATATATCATAAATGTTTGTGACGTATCGGAAGGTCACATAACTTGATGGTATCATATGACATCTTCGCTTGGTTGAAATAGGTCGATAATAAGGGCAGTGCATACCAGCTGAGGGGCAGAAAGCTAGCTTTGTGCCCAATCCTTGAGGCAGTAAGAAAACCATGTTGGGTGCATTGAATCGAAGAA